TTTTTTTTTGTAAGTTCCTGTCAAAAAAGCCAAATTAAATGGATCATTCACTGTTGAAAAGCAATAAAAGGAGAAAGGGGGGTGAATAGGCACAGCAGCAGGACCCATACAGCCACATTTAGAGGAAGTAAACCAGGTTGAAACAAGCCAGGATGACGTTTCTGAGGTCTGAGGTCTGATGAGCAGGTCTCTCTCCTGGCCAGCGCTCTGTACTTACATCTCCTCGCCTGCAGCTTCACTTCCTTCACGACTGACAAGGGCAGCATTTATCCAGAATGGAAGCTAACGCCGTGTGTGAGGTCGGTGGATGTCGTAATGAGAATAAACCGTGAGCTCAAATCACTGAATAAAATGCTCAGTGTGCAGTTAGAAAACTTCCATTCTGTGTGAAATGCTGCCGTCCAGAGTTTTTCCTCATTTACTGTCACTGGTTGTTTTAATTCACCAAACCTGAACCAACACAAAGCAAATCCAGCCATTTTCAAACAACATCTGTGTTTCTCAGGACTTTCTCTGATGGTTTCTTAGTCGACATGAAAATATACAACATGTGGACAAACACAGAAGCTGCAGCAGATCTTTACTTACCCCCGTTCACCTGCTCCTCCAGGTCTACACGAGACTGAACATTCAAATGAGCTGCTCTGTTAAATCCGCATTAAGTGATGTTTTTATATCAGCACCAACCAAAATGACAGAAGCTCTGCAGCTCGGAGCAGCTTTTAGCTTCCAGTTGCCTCTTTCTGCTCCAGTACTTTTAAGTTTAGCAATAACAATAATATTTATCACATAAATCTGCCTCGACTAATTTAAATCTAACGGTTAAGATCCTACAACAATATATGAAATACAAATGTACCTGAATAACTTAAATATTGAGCTTAAGAACACATAATATTGGACATTTATTATATTAACTTACCTTGTTAACTCAAATATCAAGGTTAAGATTTTACAATAACAATTATTCTAAAAATCTACCTGATGTACTTAAATATTGAGGTTAAAACCCCAAAATGTAGCATAAAAAACAGATTTTAAGTATTTATTTAAGGGTGAACTCTACATTAATATTTATTGTATTAATAGAAATATCAAGGTTAAGATCCCCAGTAGCATTTTTTAAAATATAAATTTAATTTACTAATTTAAATATTAGGGTAAAAACCTTCCAATAACATTTATTACACAAACTTTATAAAACTTTATTTTACAAACTTAAATATTAAGATTAGTATGCTATAATATCACATAATTTTTTAAATTTTTATTTATTTATTTATTTATTTTTGGACAGAAAGAAGTCATCAGGTTAAAACCCTGCAATTATGTTTATTTGTATATTTTTTTACAATTATATTTTTTATTATTATTCAAATTATTATTGATTATCAAACTTCTCTGATCAGTTTAACTATTAAGGTTTAGATCCTACAATATTATTCATTCTATAAATCCGCCTGACTAATTTAAATATGAGGAAAAGTGATATTAATTGACTGCTTCAAATAAATATTAGTTCAAAAACACAACTTTATATAAACCACTAATGGACGGGGAGACAAGGCAGTGACTTAAAAGAAACTTTTTCACATCCAGAAACAGCTGATTTTCCCCCCATCTATATCAAGTTGCAATTTATGAGATAAAAATCTTACTTACTTAATCTTACTTAAAAAAATTATTTTTCAAAAAAACTTAAAATCAGAGTCTATCTGTTGATTGTAGCGGAGCATTTAGAGGTGGTGGAGACCAAAACGGAGCTAAAAGCAGCACAAACACAACTCCAGCTCAATAATGAAGCATTTTCTTCCGTGTCTTCCTCCCAAGTGGCTGAAAATCACTTAATGCAGCTTTAAGTGTAAATATTTCAGGACGTGGTGGTGGATGAGTAATGCTTAATTAGCTGCCGTGCATTAAGACCTGCTGCTGCTGCTGCCGCCGCCGCCGGTCGCTGTGTGTCGGCGTTTCTCTGAAAAAAAGGTCACAGCGTCGACTCTGAAACCTCCGAGCAAACCGACCTCATCACCAGCGCACGGCGAGCCGGAGATAATGGAGCTGATGGTGAGATGGATGGGGGAGTGTTGTCATGGAGACTGGGCCGAGATGCTCGCAGGAGGAGCAAATGGGTTGCATCGAAGGCAGGCTTCAGAGTGGATGTGGTGGAAACGGCTTCACGGTCTGCACCTCGGTAATGTGCGGCTGCACCACACCCTGCAGCAGTGTGGAATCAGCGGCGCTCACACGGAGCTGATGGGGATTACACGGAGCTGACACTGGGCGGCTATCAGCCAGGTTTCAACTGAGAAAGGAGTTTTTCTTAAAAATGGAAACTGGGCCTGAAATTGTCACATTTGAAAACATCAATATGCTCGTGGTTGAGCATTTAGCAGCTGTTGGTGTTTAAAAAGATCCCACGGCTTCTGTCCACGATCAAACCCGGCGTTCATCACCTGGATGATCTGACAAATGGTGATGGGAGGAGAGTTCTGCACACGAACAACTGTGCAGCTCAATCAGACCTGTCAGCAGTAAATAATTCCTCGTTTCCTGCAGTGTGTTGAGCCTAAAACGTATCTGGAACATGTGACTGAACTCTCAGCGCCCTGCACTGTTCTGGTTCCTCGTAGTTTAAAGTTGGACATCGTTTAAATTTGACTGATTCTCGTCTCAAGTTGATCAACGCTGAGGGATAAATGTTGAAAAGTTGTCTTTTAATGAAACGTCTGTGAAATCTGTCGTCACTTTGGGAAAGATTTGTGTTGAGTTGTTCTTAGTTGTGACATGAGGATAAGTTTTAATGCAATTAAGTTCCAAATACCAGCTACCAGTCCTCCTGATGAATAATAATTATTCTATTTTGTGTGTAAAAATGTGTGAAGTGACTCAAGTTGTAGCTTAAACGTAAAATAGTTTTTACTAAAACTTAGTAAAACAGACTGAATGGTTACTGAGCTCTACTTCTGACCGATTCTGTGCACAAGCATTATTGATCCCCCCCAGTTTATCATTAGTTTATTCATCTGAAATAACATTTAAGTTATTATTGCCTGATTTTAACTATTTATAAATTTATTAAGTACACCAAACCATAAAATAAAATGTTGGGGCAACACGTGCAAAACCAGAAAAATGACACAACTCTATAATTTCACATGTTGTGTTTTTAAATGACAAGTTGTAATATTAAAGTAAAAAAGTAAAAAAAAGTAAAGAATAATAATAAAATAAGCCCCACAGATGCTTCCTATTTTCTTGAATTACAGACAAGAACGAGTAAAATCAAAGAAGAAAGTATCTATTTCCACGTTAACCCTAAAAAAAGGTCAAACAGGTCAAAAACATAAATAATGTTTAAAGGAAAAATCTGTATTTTTTTTTTTACAAATAATCAATATTTCTTTTAAAATCTTTTGCTGTAAAAATGTTCTATTTTTTTATTGTATTTAAATCCGAATATATATATATATATTTTACAGACGTTATTTGAAAGGCCACCTATCTATACCAGGGGTTAAAAAATAGTGACAATTATTTTACTGATTTTCCCAAAATTTCCTAAATTACACATAATATTTTGTAAAAAAACTGTAAACTGTTAAAAAAAAAAGGCAAAACAGTTTAAACTTGATTAAAAATCTGTATTTTGACCATAAACTCAGACTCTTTAATGAATATAAATCAGACAAAAATAAATAAGAATTTTGCAGATATTCTTTAATCATTTTAACAGTTTTGTTTGTTTGTTTTTTAACATTACAGAATTTAGTTTTTCTTATTTTCTGGTATCCTTGATGCTTAATTTTCACTGTTTTATTACTCTTTAGTTGTTTACAAGTTGACACGATTGTTTTGTTTGTTTATTATGTATAAAAGTGAATAACTATAATTTTTACACTGAAAATGTTCCCTCAAGGTGTTTCCTGCTTATTTTCATTCATGATTCTAGCAAATAAAAAACAGCACATGGAGACGTTTTAACTGTTTACTGCTGACAGGCCAGTTGGTTGAACATCAGTCACTTTTGACATTTCAAATTATAATTTATTTTCTTAATCTTTCATTTGTGTTGTTTTTTCTACCTGGTTGTTGCTTCCTGTTCAAAGATTTCTTTTCAAAATGATGAAATCTGATGAAAACACGTCGGATGCAATGAGCTGAACTCACCTGTTGCTACAGTGAAGACCTTCCTGCCTGTGACCGGTCTGCTGGTCTGGAAAGTTCTCTCAGTGACTCAGGGTGTGTATAAACATATGAAACATTGTTCTTACACTGTGTTAGGATGGCCAGCAGGGCATTCTTGAAGATCTCCTTGGCTCGCTCCATCTCCTCCTCGTGCTGAGCCTTCTCGCTCATCAGCCGCCGGACGTGGCTGTTGGCCGACTGGATCATGGAGTAGAAGTGGTTGGCGGTGCGGCGGTTGACCTCGCCGCGGTCGATCCAGGTGAACAGCACCGCCGTGGCCTCGCTGAACTTGTGGTCGTCTGTGGGAACAAAAAAAAACGACGTCAGCCCCAGTAAATCTGAGAGGTCACAGCGTTCACAACAAAAAATGTTTTTCTAAACGCTTGTTTTGTTGTCTTTCTGAAAACAGTCAAAACTTTTTGGGCG